GAATAATTTTTTCCCCCCTAAACTAAAAAAAAAAAAATTTTTTTTTTTTTTTTTTTTTTTTTTTTTTTCAAAGAAACAGTAAACAGACATGTTTAAAACGTCACGAGTTTCTGGGAATAACCCAAATGAAATTACTCTACATGGGATTGAAAACGGGAATTTTGATGGTAAAAAAAACGTATTGCACAAAAACCGTTTTACGATATTACGTAATCTGAACACGTGCGACAGGGCTGGACGGCAGTCTGAGAGAGGAGTCGATAAGACGAAGAGGAAAGTTTACAGCTGAGCCAAAGGTACAAAAAGTCCAATATCCTCGTTAGCTAAAGCAGTACTTTTAAAACACTCGGTAAATAATATACATTTAAGCCTCAAAAGCTGATAAACGCATATCACTGTTTTTTTTTTTTAAATCGCTTACAACAAACACCGCATTTTAATTTCACCGTCTCCATCGAAACCAGCCAAACCCGCCTAATGGCCTGACAGCTAGCATGTTAAACAAACGCAGATGAAATATCAAACAATAAGGCAGAGTTTCGACCTACAAGATTTTAATTATAAAATGCTACACTACAACGAGAACAAACATATTAAGCTAAAAAGTTCAGACTTTAACCGTTAAACCCATCCCTGTGTTACGGCCACTAATGGGCCCTACATAAACGGTTAGCCTCCGGTTTGCTCCAGAATAAACAAGTTTAAAGGATACACGTTGAGCCTTTGACCCATGTCCTGGATCAGATTCGCCGCTTGTTGTCGGTAGGAGAGCTCCCGGTCTGATTCTACTCCACATCGGCGGGACGGGGTGTTTTCCAGCTGCTCCCGGGTGAAATACCATTTCGACGAAGAACCCCGGCATGCCGCCATTACTCTGGAACGTTCGCTTCGGCATCGAGAAAACGGATGTGACGTCGTGTCTGCCCGAGAACTAGGCGTGATTTGGTACTTTGCTGCCTCCCACTGGCCAAAAGCTGATCAGTCGATGCGGTAAAGACAGTTACGCTAACAAAACAATCAATTAATGTAGCTCAAATCTGGGTTCCAGGCTCGACTCAATGCCGTTTATTAGGAGCTGTGGAGTATTGAAGTCAAAACTTAAGTTATGTAAAATATGTGGTATATGTATGTAAGTTTATAGCTTTCTGCCTCTCCACACCTAACTAAACACAACTCTGCTTCCCTGATGAAATTTATGTAGTCTTAAAAAATATTTTGAGAAAACAATACAATGCTCACATGAAGCATAGGTTACACAAATCATAAACTCTGTGTCAAAGCATCTTCAATCTGTGTAGAATAATTCTGTCCAGTTTTGACCACACACACGCGCACACACATACACACACATATATATTTTTATATATATGGAGAGAGAGAAAGAGAGAGAGAGAGATAGATAGATAGATAGATCTTTTACTGCTTTGAGTCCAATTAAGCAGTAAAAATATTTATTTTTGTTCCTTTGGTTCACTTTCACAAATACAATAAGAAATTGGTGCTTTTCATACATCATTTTAAAAAAATCTGTGCTCCCAACAGCTATAAATCAAGTTTTTAATAATTTTAAAGTACTCTCTGGTCCATTCTAACATCTGCTTCCAAACAATAAAAAACAGATATGAAATTGCAACCAGCTTCTTCAAACATATGCTTCCTGCTACAAAAGATACAAAATAAACTGCATTGAAAGAAAAACAGTAGAATCTGTGGAATCTTATCCAAAATAAGTTTCATTTTGCAGAACCACACTGTTTATGACAAAAAAGTTTAAGACTTTTTTTTTAAAGTTTAACTTTTACAAAACTTTTGAAAATTGCTAAAAATCCCACGTTATTATTTCTATATTTAAAAACATTAGTTGATTCAGCATTTTTAGTCAATCTTGTCAGTTGGCTCTGGAACCACAGGCTGCAAACTCTTGTACTACACAAACTGTTCTCGTTTTAGTCCCAAAAATTCCAGTGCATTTCCAGCGAGCAACTTGTCCTGCAAGAAAAAAAGAAAGAAATCAATCTACAGACTATATGAAAATGGTATTTTCATTTCTTTACCTAACACTCATTTAGATCTTCCTTCTTATATTTGAAATATTTAGGAACTTCCTTTGAGTATTCTTTGTAAGAAGCATTTTAATACCTTCAGTTTTCCATCAAACTCATCCATTGACTCAATGAGTGACCCGGGTTCCAGCTCGCCAAGTGGGAATGGATAATCTGTTCCCAGCATTACTTTATCCTGGAAAACCAGTACAATCAGGTTAGATAGGAAATAATTAATGGTTTTCATTGAGAATAGTTGGGGATTGACTTCTAAAGGGTCTGTGAGACATAAAAACTGTGATTTTTGGCATTAACCTGCATGTAGAAAATTCTAAAAAAGCTATTGATTGAAATTATGGATCCAGACAATGACTGTAATGTAGTGTAGTCATATGGTTGAACTAAATTATTTTAAATCCCGATCATCACCTGTTTGATCTCCTACCCTCTGGTAGATGTTTCAGATATAACGGATTAAAAACTTCACAGTTTCATCTTCACTGCAATAAGTTTCCTTAACAAACATTAACTTGTTCCTAACATATATGATATGAATGTGTGCCTGGTAGTTATTTTAGATTTAGTTTAGTACATAACAGTGTGTGTAATTTTGTATCTAGTAGTGTATGTGGTGTAGTTTTTACTGATTGCACCTCATGGGAAATATATTCTTAATTTCACTGTTTCTCTGTACTTTGTCAAAAAAAAGTAATTTATTCATGTGGTCTAACAAAAATATAAAGCTGTGTGTCATCAACATGGACATGGAGACGTAACACTGTCACTGAAGTCAGGAGAGCATGGTGATTTTTTCTTTTATTGAAAGGAGTCGGAGTAAGGAGCCCTGAGGGACCCCAGATCTGATGTTTGTCTGCTCACATTCATAAATGCTGAAACATAGTTGGCATGACAAGTATGATTTAAACCAAATTACTACATTTTTGATAGAATCTCACCCACTTTTTCAATCTAGCAATCAAAATGTTATGTTACATTGGAGATGCAATAACACAAAGAAAGAATATTTAGCTCTCCTCCCCTATTACTGGTCTTAAATATCTGGATAGCTCAGTGCCAGGTGGAAAAACCCAAACACATTGAATCAGGTTCAAAATTAAACTGACTTCACTTCAATAACTAATAAAGTGTTATTTTTACACTACACACTCAAAATCGATAATTTTACTTTCATGTTAATGGTAAAAAAAACGACAACACATCTATATGTTAATGAAATGAGAAGTTCAAACTTACTTTTCCAATAACATCAACGAGCAGCTTCAGGGAGATTGGATCATGAACCAATGAGTCAGTGTAGAAAGAGCCCAGGTATTTACGTGGACTGATTGTGTTGTCAACTGCACACAGGTCAGGACGAACTTTGTGGCCGTGTTCGATTCTGCCAACAGTGAACGGAAAAGAGCCCCCTGTGGGCAAATAAACAAACACATCAAGGTCAAACAAAAGCACAGAGAGGCTCCTTTGATGCCACACTAAGCACAGAGGAAACACTTAAAATATGATACTTCACCATCTTATTCAGAGGTGATATTAATCTTATAAATAAAAGAAAAATACAAGCTATCTGGTGTTGTACCTCCATGTGCAAAGCAGACTTTCAGCTTTGGAAACTTCTCAAAGATACCTCCAAATATCATTGAGCAAATAGCCATGGTTGTCTCGGTTGGCATGCCTTTCAGGCAGAGGAGAGCAATTAAAATAATAAAAAAAACATACTGAACATAACTTAAAAAGGGTTTTAAATTCAGTGGAACATTGATCAGGTTGTGTCAAACATACTGCTGAAACCCACTGTTTAGAAATGCAGTGATAATGATTTGCAATGTTTTATCATTTACTAAAGTTGTATTGGGTTGTTTCACATTGTTGACCAAACAAAGTTTCCTGTTTCTGCTCAATCTCCTCACCCACCAGCCAGGGCAGCCAATACTTAGCCATCCTCCCATCTGTCTGCATGTCCCATGGGTGGACAAAAATGGAGCAGCCCAGCTCCTCTGCAGCCTGCATGCAAGACACATACTGGGAAATCAGTAACGATGCTGCAAAAAAGACGCAGTGAACGTGGAAATAATATTATTTTCTGAGTGTGTTTTGGTTTTATGTCTCACAGCATAGAAGGGAATGAGGTTCGAAGAGTTCAGGTCCCAGTTGTTGATGTGGGATCCGATCTGCACTCCAGGGAAGCCGAGCTCCTTCACGCACCGCCTCATTTCCAGCACCGCCAGGTCAGGGGCTTGCATGGGCAGCGTACCCAGCCCCACAAACCTCTTAGGGTGACTGTGCACCGTCTGGGCCAAATCGTTGTTTAAAAGGACACAGAGGTCCAATGTGTCATGAGGTTTGGCCTACAGTTAAAAAAAAATCTCAGTAAAACTGGGAGAAAGTGAAATCAGACAAGTTTGCAGTGACTTGCAAAAATATTCACACCCCTCGAAAACATTGTAAAAGAAGTGTTGACTTTCGGCAAAAGAATTAAAATTATAACCCCCCCAAATTACACCATGTGTTATTTTTCTTCTACTTTATAATAATGCACTATTTTGTGTTGATTAATAACAAATAATTCAAGATTGTGATTGAATGAATACTTTTTCAGAAAGTGCTTAATGTGAAAGTGCTGTACAATCTGCTTCGGTTCTCTTACAAATATGGGAAGGAAATGTTCTACCTTTTAAAATAAATTCACACAAAAACAGTGAGAACTGACCCAATAACTGAACATCACAGGAACCGTCGACAGGGCCTGAACGGTAACACCTGCGGACCATAAACAGGAACATGATGGTCAGAAAAGATTGGGATGGAACAGAAACAAGTGCCGGGTCATTGATCCCCGTGAACACACCGTACTTGTCCATGTCTTTGATGCGAGCATTCGCATCCCAACAGTTTTCCTGAATCACTCGGAACAACTTTCCATCCTTCATCATGTTTGCTTCGCCCTGAAACGCAGCGTTAACATCAACTACAACTTGTGTGCATTTACGGTGGAGTATAACATGTAGTGCAGAGTTTTATGTTTCTGCATAGAGGTTTAGGATTTAACATCATTTTTAAGTATGACCACACGATAGCAGCAGTGAGTTCCTTCTTGAAACGCTCTCTCTCTGGGTGAATCTGCACCCAAAGATCTCTAGAGTCCTCTTACATCTTTAAACACAAAAACAAACGTGCATCACTGTTATTTTTGGTATTTTAAACGGTTAAAAATAAATATAGTGACTTTCTGGTTAATAAAGTTTAACTTCCAGTTCATACCGCAGCTTTCAGTGTTCTCAGTTGTGCTCAAAGTGAATCATTCAGTGATGCAGTGGCATCATGCTGTGTGCTGGCCAGCATGAGGGGTGGTTATGGTGGGGAGCTTCCAGTATGATCCTGCTGCGTTCTCAGCAAAGTAAGCATTTGAGACCTGTCCCTGTGCCCTTGTTTTATCTGTCTGCACATAAAAATGAGTGACTCACCTTGCAGTGATGGTGCAGCTGAACAAACCCATCATAGCCATATCTCTGCAAGACATAAACACATACGATTACTGATAGTCATACAGTTGGAAAACACTTTAATACACTCAGGCTTTTTCGTGACACAATGACTGTAACTGCTTGAAACAAAAATAAAAAAAAACAAATGAATTGGGCCTGAGTAAAATGTATTCTGAATCTTCTCTCATCCAAATTAGTTTAAAAAAATGGCATACGGGATTGTATATTGTATGGTTTCATACAAAGCATGTGATAGAAGTGCAATGTCCAAAAAAGAATTTGATAAAATATTATTTGGATTCTGTGTGCCTGTTTGTATAACCTTATCCCTGTGTGGATTGTGCTTCCAATTGTTGCTTTTAAAGTGGACTGAAAC